AAAATACATTAAGGATGACTCTTCTTGTAAAGTACTCCATCCAATGAGGGTTGATCTATATCAAATTTAAGACCCTTTCTTTCTAGAATGACATCAAAATAAATGCTGGGTAAATGTATATGAGCCTTTGAACATCAAATTTTATAATCGTTAAGTAATGACACTGTCTAATTTTGAACTTGCATGAACAAGTAGTTTGTGCAAGCATTTGTGCATTTGTGTGTCTAGTGTTCTAGATACACTTTCTTCCAAACTTCAATATTTATGTACATATTTATGTACTCTTGTAGTAACAGGCCTTGACTGTTTTTAAAAGTGCATCTATACAATTGTGAAATTGCACATCTTTACCAACTTCCAATGGATAGATATGTGGGAGAATGCATACATGATGGATTATATGTTTGTTCTTATGGCAATTGCTTACTTGTTGTTATTGCTGGATATTTGACCATATGTAAAGAATGTTTGTAGTATGGTTCATCATTCATAGTTTTGATGAGCCCACAGTAGTTACCCCATGAAAGTACATATATATTTGTGTAGTGTTTTGTGAAATGCCAAAAGGGAAACAACTGTCATCTCTGTTTCTTATGATTCACTTTTAAAGAAAGGTTTGCAAATAAGCTTTTGCACTGTTGTCTATATTTTACATGCTTAACTTGGTGGAGTTAAGCAGTGTGCTTGCATTCACAGCAGGTGGAGCAAAGATTTAGTCCATATCTTCAAAAATATAACCCCTCTATCTGTAAGATATTTTCCTTGCGCACAGTTTTACAGATCCATAATCATTTACACTAAGCCTCTCTTCAAGTGATTATGTTTGTGTAAGGCAATAGAGGAGGGTGTATTTTTCCATACTTCTTCCTGGATATTATCTGTGTCTTCTAAAGCATTGCAGGGTAACATTTCTATTCCTCTTAATGTCAATTGGTATTACATATATGTGTGCAAAGAAAATGCATATTGCAGTGTGTTGATATGAAGTTGTCAGCATTTTATCAATAGCAGCAGCATTTATGTTTGTATTAGTAATGAATGCTTCAAATGTGTACCTATCATTTCAGATGATTGGTCTTTCTTTTTCTCTCTCTCCTTCACTTTCCTTCTATATTCAGCCATCAGTATGATACATTTAAACTGTTGCATTATTAACCCTGAAGACTCCAAATGCAATAGTAGCTTTTTATAGGGTAGATAAATATTCAGTGATGTGGGAATATCTCTTTTGTTATAATGTCAGTGTCCACTAATGCTTTTATGGAAAAATTTTGTATTACGAATAGCCATCTTAAGAATTATTTGAACAGATCAGCCAGCATCAGTTTGTTGGAAGTTTTGTTATGAGATTATCATTATGTTAGTATAAACAGTTAATTTTTACATGCTGCTAGCATTGATAGCTATATTCGAGTATATAAAATTATTTATCAATAAACTTTAACATAGTAGTGATAATCATATGAATTACATTGTCCAAAGAAACATTAGTAAGCATGTTCCCTAAAATTGTATATCAGGTGTAAGGAAAACATTTTTATATTTTCATTCACATTACATTCATTTTAGTTTGATGGACATGTGATTGCTGCCTGCCAAACCAAGCCACATGCTGTTGATCACAGGTGGTCAGCCAAAAAAGGTAAAAAATCAGATGTTTGGGGAGTGTATATGTGTATGTTTGGCTGTGGCATACACGTGTTTTCATCAGTTCAAGACAAAAACAAGGCCATAACCCCACATTTGTGGTGCTTTAGGCCCAGAACTGGCTGCCCAGAGCTAAACAAGTGAATAACTGTTTAGGGTACATAACTTGGAGCTGGCTGGCCGAGCATGGTGCACATCTTTGTGAATTGGCATTTGGCTTAGGCTTGTTATTGCAGGAATAGATGCAAAGTGATGGGTTAATCTCACTTTTTCTTTCTTTATCCATTTTTCTCTTTTCTTCTTTATTCTTTACTTGTTCAACTAAATTATATTAATTGAAAATTAATACTGTGCACATTTTTTATTTTTTTTTATTTATTATTATGTTTTATTTATTTATTTATAGAGGTGATATGTGAGTTTGACTGTGTACCTCTATGTTTGTTGATGTCGTTGATGTGCATGGACTTTTGTTTGCATGTATATTTTTGTCTGCATGTTGGTGTAGGTGAAAGTGTTTGACTGCATTTGCGGATATTATGATATTTATTGTTTTATTATATTTTTATTCTTATCTATATTTTTTTTCATCTGTATTATTTGCAATTTGATGTGTGAAAGTGATATTAATGATGGTGCTTTTTTTTTATCATATGCGCACGTTTCATCTTTCATAATCAGGAATGTCCTAGGTTAGTGAAAATGTTGGTAGCTTACTTACCTCAGCAAAGTCATATGCTTATACTAGCAGTAAGACTTGTTCAGAGATTTTTATGAAATGGAGTGATTTAAGAAATGTGAATACAAAAGTATCAGTTTCATCAGAGTTGGATTTAGATAATTGTATGCAAACTCTTTTTTGTTAATTTCAAAATGCTTCATCAAAATTATACTGCTTTAAATTTTATTTGTATTACGGATATTATTTTTTTATTTTGTGGTCATTTCTTTTATTGAGAGGGAAAAGGTTTAATGATCAGAACTTAGTTTGTTACTTTGCATTGAACTTTGCTACTACTTCACTTAAATAAAAAAAAAAGTTCAAACAATTTTTAATTAATAGTGGCACATTATACTTTGAGATAGTAGTCTTATTAGAAAAGTATTATGATATATGTGCAAGGGTTGTGCTTTTTGACTTTTGGTGTTTTTGTTTTCTGATTCTATTTTTAGTTACTAATGAATGGTTTTTATAAGGCTTAATTTTAACAAGAGTTACCCCTGGCTAAATGAGTTGTGATCTTACAAATATTCATTTGAATTACTTCATGTTCATTGCTCTTAAGTTTCTGGAGGAAAATCTAATGTTAAATTTATTTGGAAGCTATAAGAAAGGTCATTTGTAAAACTGCTACACTGATATAGATTTAAGGAGCCTCGAATTTGTAGAGTATTTGTGCCAAAAAGGATAAATGATTTTAAAAATATTGAAGTTTAATATATGTTAGTATGATGATGATGGTACTTATGATGGCAAAAAGGATAAATGATTTTAAAAATATTGAAGTTTAATATATGTTAGTATGATGAGGATGGTACTTATGATGGCATTGTTATTTTATTTTAAAATAATTGTTATTTTTGCTGTATTCAACTTATGTATCATAAACATCATCATTAATATTCTTTCATGTAATGACAGTAATGACATGACAAAAAGTAAGGATGGTTAAATGATAGTTATTTGTATTGTTAATGTTGATAACAAAATTGTTAAAGTTCCAGGTTTCTGTTTATTATTGCTTTCTCTCTCAGCGGTGTTCAGTCAGATGGTGTAAATTGAAAGTTAAAGTTAAACTGAACAGCACAAAACCCAAGTATATCTATATGTGGATCTTTATTGCACTTAGTAAAAGTAGTTAGAATGTTGTTTTCTTACTTTTATAAAAAGTGATGTAACTGGGTTTCTGAAGATGTATAGCAAGCAGAGTTCAGTATAAAATGAATTTTGTGCTTTTAGGGAGTTAGTGTCCATTGTAAGCTGAAGGAGAACAATTGATGTGGAGGAAAGTATTTCAGCAGTCCCTGATAACCTTTTCCAATCACTTGTATTAGATTTAAGGAAAAAGTGTAGTTTGAAGTGCTCCATTTGAAATTGCTTCTTGAAATAACACCGTGTCACCTCCCATAGCTCATCTGCTGCAAAATACAGTGTATAAGGGCATGTTATAAGTGAAAATACTTGATTTTTGTCATGTAATGGCAGGCTCATTTTGACTAATACACTTTGTAATTTTGTGGTTAGTGCCCGCCCACTTAACTTTGTGGTACTTGGATGCATATACTGGTACCTGCATGTACAGTTTGTCTATTATTGAAATCCTCTGAGGGGTCAACTAGCACACGTTTCAGTTGATTTGAAAATATATAGAGTGGCACAACAGGAGCTAGGAATTTACCTCTAAATGTTGTGGTCCTTTTTTTTTTGAAAGATATGGCTTAACATTTAACAATTTAGCACAATTAAACTTTGGTAAAATTTTGAGGTTATTTCCCTTATACAGGCTTTTGTCTTTAATCTGAAACTGATACCTTACAAGTTTTTATTTATTTGACTCTTGCTAAGTGCAAATTTATATTATATATATATATATATATATATATATATATATATATATATATATATATATATATATATATTATATGTTTTTTTTTATAGCTAATCAACTTAAAGGAATGATAAATAACAAAAACATTTATTTAAAGCTCCTGGCAGTCAGATAAGTTTCAGTGAATTTTGTATATACATTAAACTTTCTAGAGAAATAGCAACGCAAGATATTAACAGTAGTGTTAACGGAATTCAACTAACCTTCAGATTGTAATGTTTGATAGATTTAATTAAGTAAGCAGCCCTATTTTGTGCCAACACCCAGCACACACATGCACACTGTGACTGAAAGTGAAAAGAAATCACTTTGAACTTGTAGGTGATATGGTCCTTCGTGCCCTTTAGGGGGAGGAAGTAAGTAGCTGATGCTAGTTTTCACCCACAAATTTAAATTATAAAAAATGCATGTAAGCATTTTTGTTTCCTCTCTTTTAGGCTATAAGTAGGATTACTCATAGTTATTATTTATGACTTGTGCTTTTCAAGAATGAAAGCAGTCAAAAGTGGAAATCATCCGAGAAAATGCTTCCACTAAAAACAATCATTATATACCTGTGTATATCATTGCCTGCCTATCATCAGATACACATAGAATGCATGTTAATCTAGAAAATTAATTAGAAACAGTTTTAAAATACCTTTTAAAGAAACCTCAAAAACCCTATGACTTTTATAGACTAAATTGGATAATGTCACATAAACATATTCAGTAATTATCAAGGTGTTACATCTAGAACATTTG